TAATCTACAATAAACAATATAAACCTCCTTTTTAAGATCAGAATCCAGTTTACTGCTAATTAAGTTTTTTCACAAAGAAGGAATGTGCTTTGGGAAATTGGTGCATAACATAATGAGAGTGCATGACATTAAAAAATAAAAGCAAGTATCAGCAAGTGAATTTTTACAATGGATCTGAAGGAATATAAAAAGCTGTGCAATTTTCAGAAGTGGTAGTTTGTGTAGGAATGTGCAGAGATTCACGATACTGTTACGAACACGAGGGAAACCCAAGTGCAGGACACAGGATGGGGAGGATGAAAGAAGCCTTATTGTCACAAGGAACAGGAATAATTGGGGTCCAGGGTCCGTGGTGTGCAGGTGAAGCTGGTTGGCAGGTGAGTAATGATCCTGAACATGGAAAAAACAACAACTCAGGGGCACAAAAAAGGAGTAGTGAGTGACAACAGCCCCGCCCACATTTAGAGGCATGGAGAGAGGACCTGCATGAATACATCAAAACTGAGGACTGAGGGCATGTACTAAAGCACAGTCACAAACAGTTAACACGCTTCTTAAATTACTGCATTTTAACTGCTTGATGTGAGCGTATATAACCCCAGAAAAGCTCAATAAATACAGTAAGCTATACCTGATTTATGTATGAAATGCAGAAAAGAAAAAGATTCACTCCACTGTTGTTAACAACAGTGGAGTGAACAATGTTGACACTGTGACACTGGCATTTAGATGATGACATAAAAAAATCCTGAAACAGTGCTTTAAACAAGTAAAAACATAATAAATGAACTAATAAAAACATAGTTATTAATACTATATTCCATTCATGCAGCTGATATATCCCTCTGAATCCTCCACACTGCACCTTTAAGTAAAAGACCTCATGATGCACCTCTGGATTTGAATTTACTGCCATGTAAATGTCAACATTCGTAACCGATTTGTATAACAACCAGCACACATGTTCTGCTCCCTTTTACAATATTCCCTTCAACTATAAAACATGTTAGTGGTGTTTCCCTGTGTGGTCACTCAGCAGCTCCTTGTTTCCAGGTTGGTCAATGATTTCCCCAAACCTGCAGCAGAACGTTCAGTTTTTAAGAAACTGTCAGCTGACGCTGGTGAGAGCGAGTCCACCTGTGGAATTAAAACTTCAACCAGCTCCTCTGAGAGGTCACACAGGTTTATATATACAACACACCTCCTCCACCAGGAGTTAAACTTTGTCCCTATGGAGCTGTGGAGGGGGGAGATGTGGAGCGGGAAGTGTTGGTCGTCTGATTAATAACTCAGCTTTGGAAGGGCTGCATTATGGTCCAGTGTGCCAGGGAGGTGGAGGTTGTTAAACTATAACGGCAACCGGCCGTGTATAATGCCGACATTGACACCTTTTTCGTTGGTTTCTGACGCCACAAGTCACTGCCCAAGTGCCAGATTTCAACAACTTTGGGGTGAGACTGGGCTCCTTTGAGTTAGCTTCTAACTGCTAACAGCTACTTTTTAAATCTCCCATGGTGGGTCACATGCATAACATGCTGTTAATTAAATAACACACCTGGTGGCGAAGTTGTGGAGATGGAGAAGTTAGTTTGAAGAACCCTGTAAGACAATATCTGTTTCTGTATTTTTAAATGTTGCTTCCACTTTATGGCTCGTCAATTAATCATCATGTCATTTTATCAGCACACCTGCTTTAAGGTAAACACATCACAGTCGTTTATTGAGTCCAGAGTTTCAGGCAGAGTGAGTCATACAGGGAAGAGACAGTGTCTGCTGATCTGTGATGAATGATATGATCTCACATGTTCTGCTGCTGCTCATGACACGGCTCTGATGAACGACTGATTCTAGTTAATGAATGAATGAACAAATTAAACATTTAAACTCTGAGGGGAATTTGCCTTGGACAAATCAGCCTAAACGAGTATCACAAACACATCAACTGTTAACACATAAAAAAACCCCACATGGGTCATAAAAAAAACTTTATAAAACATCATGAAAGCATCATCACTGGGAATCTGATAAAGGACTGAGAGTGAGAGAATCTGTTATTTCTGAGTAACACACCGCCGCTATGGACGCAGTGATGCCATTTGGAGCCAGAATAAGCACCACGCCCCCTTCAAAGACTTTTCAAAGAAACCTGATGTCCTTCACGGGGATGTTGTCAAGGTTGACACCTTCGCCATCTCAAAGACATCTCTGAAGGAATGTCCTGAGACTCTGATGGCACCTGACGCACCTTGGCAGCTCGGACTGGGGTAATCTGCCTTCATTATCTCTGGTGTCCCTGAACTCACCATGGACCTGGGCAGGGATGGGCAGTTTTTCTATTACTTGTATTTAAAATACGCATTTCAATTACATGAGTATTTTGTAATTTGTATTTGATAAGGCCGATAAAAAGCAAATGTAATTTGTAACAAAATACTTTTGAGTGGAGTAATCTTGTATTTAAAATACTCAAAATACTTTCTCCATGAATAAAAAAACAAAAATAATAGGCTACACATTCTTATAATATTGGATGTAACAATATTTTTTTACTTTTTTTTTAATTATTTTCATCTATATGTTTTTTAAACTTGGGCCCTTCAGTGACCTAGTGGTCTGCTTTACTGGACTGTGCATAACATAGGAAACTGTAAGTTGTTGTGGTTGATGCTTGGGATGCGTCTGCTACAAATGAATTGCCTCACGTGGGATCAATAAAGTTCTCTGAATCTAAATCTGAATCAATAAATAATATTTTAGTGTAGCCTACATGTCCCTGGCTTTTTTTTCTCTTTTTCATTTGAAAAAAGTTGAACACAGGCTCCAAAGGCTCCAAGTTAGCCTAACCCTAACCCTAGTACCATCCCACCGGCCAACGAAAGAGAGAAATGTATAGGTTACTCACTTGTTGTTACGTTAGCCTACGTGTTCACTTTTGTATTCATTAACCATTTATTTTTTATTCATTTTTCTGTGCAGAGCTTGATGTTTTTATTTGTATGACTTTTATAGTACACATAGGCCTAATGCTATTCATATGTTAATATCACAGTGTCTGTGAATATTTTATTTGTTGATACAAAAAAGTTTATGGGCTGTTAAGTCTGGTTAATAAATATAAATACAGTATATTTATATATATATATATACATAATCAAGTTGTTGTCTTTTAATGGCTTTGCTTAGTTGCACTTAGTTAGTTCTGTGACTGTTCTGCCTTTTTGTGGGGTTCACCAGAGCTTTGTGTGTATCCTACAGCCCAGACCTGAATACTCTGTTTCACCAAATTGTGAGAAAACAAGCGCAAATTTGCAATAGCTGCAACCAAATTTGCTACTATCACGCCATTAATGGATGAATCATGGTTGTTCTTTGTGGCATAGTTACTTGTGGTCTCTAATTGCAGCATGTACATTTTGAGCATTTTTGGTCAAGGACTTTTTGAGTTATTCGTGAAAAGCTTTGTGGACTGACCGACCAACTGACCAATCAACCAACCGACAGACTGACCTATAGAGCTGCGAGTCGCTGCTAAAAAGAAAAAGAAAAAAGTATTTTCTGTATTTGAAAATACAAAATACATGTATTTTATTTTGATACATTTATTTGAGGGGTATTTTGTATTTTGTATCAAAATACATTTTGATGTATTTTTGCCCATCCCTGGACCCGGGTCCAGAGTCAGTGAGATAAAAACTGTACAGATAACATTTATGTAACAAGAAATATATCATCTGAATTTCTCCAGTACTGAGAGCAGAACCGTTAAGGTCAGAGCTAATCAATACCACAGTCTTTATTAATTCGGCCCCGGGGCCCATTTCATACCAGGTTTCAGGACCCATCCCTACTGACAGGTGTAGTTTGGTAGACAGAAAATAGTTCCTGCATGAAACTGCTCACAACAAGGTCTGTGGATTATCTTGAGTAACTGGCTCATGATTTCTGGAAAGAGACATTGATGTTGAGATTTTAAAATGTACTTTTTGTCGCTTTGAGCTCCACAAGCTGAGTGTCATCTAGTTCCATTATAGTGGGGAGAAGGCAGACGTCTCTCCAACATATCTCCAACACTCTGCAACTCACACCAAAAGTATCCAGACTGATATATAGCACCACAGGTCAGAGGAAGGATATGCATTTGTGATTTTGGGTGGACTGTCCCTTTAATATGTTGATAAACAGGACTGAATTTTCTCAGCTTATTACCTAATTTATTCTATTTTTTTTATGTGGTTTACTTCCTAGTATTTGCTAACAACCTGCTGATCATACACAGTACTGTCCCTTTAAGTAAAGGATGTAAAAACTTCCTCACCACCTATTATGAAATAATAGAAACAACTCTACCACCAAGGTTTGTTAATAAATAAAAATAATGCTGCCAAAGTCTGTAGTACATTTATCACACACACACACACACACACACACACACACACACACACACACACACACACACAGCTGTTTCCAGAGCCTCTGGAGGATTATCCAGCTTTACACTGGCTTTGAGGGGAAACCGAGGGGTGGAGCAAACAAAGGTGTGTCTCCCCTGCAGGTAAAAACACAGTGCCATGGTTACCTGAGCAGCCAGCAGCTTGCTCGACAACTAGAGCAGCACAAGAGGAGCTCAGTCAGTTACAGAGATGGCTGGATGTGGCTGGATTAACATCTGGGAGTATGCTAAAGCTGTTCGCTCTTCCAGTTTGTGGTAACAGATAACAGGTAGTCACACTTCAACTGCAACTGAACGCCTCAAAGTCCTGTCATGAATTTTTCAGTGTGACGTTTTCTTCTGCTGCACATCTTAAAGGACGACAACCCACATCTCAGGACGGGACAGCGTCAACATGCTGGAGAGTGTCTTTGCTCAGGGGGGACAACGGTATGTCAGCGTGTTCAGTTTTAATTTTTTCTGTGTTCCTGAAGCTTTTTGTGTTTGAAGCAGAAGCAGGGCTGTTAATGATGAGGGAAAACACTAAAAAATGTGTAAAAGCAACAACATTTCATCTGTTATTCTTAAATCAGGTCCTGTGTTTCAGCCTGAGAAACATTTTATAGCTTTTATTTTATCAAATACTTAAATACTGTAAATTTGACTGTAGAAACACTAAAAACAGATATTAGTTATCTTTATAAATACTGCAGGGGTGGAAGAAGTCGTCACATATTTTAATTCAGTGAAAATAACAGTACTGCAATGTTGGAGGAAGTACCTGGAACTTTTGCTTCTGTAAAATAGAAATACCGTAGCACTGAAAGAAGTACTCTGACCTTTTAATTAAGTAAAAGTAGAAGTACTGCAGTGTTGGAAGAAGTACGTAGGTACTTTACAACCCAAATTCCAAAAAGTTGTAATGCTGTGCAAACGTAAATAAAAACATAATGCAATGATTTGTAAAAACCTTTTGGACCTTTATTTAACCGAGTACGTTACAAAGACAAGATATGTAATGTTCAAACTGATAAACCTTATTGTTTTTTTTATAAATATATACTTAATCTGAATTTGGAGCCTGCATGTCCCTAAAAAGTTGGAACAGCAGAAAGACTGTGCAAGTTGTTGAATGCTCAAAAACACCTGGAACAGGTAAACTGATAACAGGTGATAGTGTCAAGCAAACACGGTCACTACGTGAGGTGGAGACGGACGCACACAAAGTGGAAAAGTGTGCTGTGGTCATATCAGTCCATCGTGGACGTTGTGTCCTTCGGGACCATCCAGATTGTTACCAGCTCAAAGTTCAAAGTATCTGTGACAGTATGGAGGTGTGTTAGTGCCTGTGGCATCATGGTCTCACACCTGTCTCCCACTGAACATGTGTGAACATTATCATAAAGCACAAAATATGATAACAGAGACCGCGGACTGTTGAGACACTGAAGTCAGATATCACGCAAAAGAAACCTCAACAGTTAGTGTCCTCAGCTCACGAACACTGACTGAGGGTTATTTAAAGAAAAGGTGATGTCACACAGTGGGAAACAGGCATCTGGAACAACTTTATTAGAACCTGTTGCAGGCATCAAATTCAGAATGAGTGTATATTTACAAACTAGATTTGCCGCCTCAGATATCTATGCCTCTGGGAACCTGTCAGGCTGCACTTATAGTTGTCTTACTTGTCTGTGTAAACACGGATACCTCATATACATCTTTTCCTCAGCAGCACAGAAGATCTATACAATCAGCACAGTTTCAGGATTAGAGTCACCAATTCAGTATCTGACCAAATGTCTCCCCTTCTGTTCCTGAGATATGACGTTAAAACATGATGATGTCACAGTCAAGCTGACCTTTGACCTTTTGACCTTTATTATTTCACCTGTTAGACATTTATGTCAAGTTTTGTCAGAATTAGTGTATGAATTTTTCAGTTGTGGCCAAAAACATGTTTTATAAGGTCACACTGACCTTTGACCACAAAATTCAGTTCAGTTCATTTTTCAGTCCAAGTGGATGTTTGTGTCAAATTCAAAGAAATTCTCTGAAGGTTTTCTTGAGATATCGTGCTCACAAGGATGGGACAGATGCAAGGTCACACTGACCTTAACCTTTGACTACCAAAATCTAATCAGTTCATTCTATAGTCCGAGGAGATGGTGCTCTTAAGATGTCACGCTCACAAGAAGGTTACAGATGGGCCTCAGTGACCTTTGACCACCAAATTCTAATCAGTTAATTCTTTAGTCCAAGGAGAAATTTTTGCCATATTTGAAGAAATCCCTTCCAGGTGTTCTTGGGACATTGTGTTCACGAGAATGAAAGACCAGGTCACACTGACCTTTGACCACCAACATCCAGTCAATTCATTCTTTAGTCCAAGGGGACATTTGTGGCAAATTTGAAGAAATTTCCATAAGGTGTTCTTAAGATATTGCATTCACAAGAATGTTACAGATGGGTCACAGTGACCTTTGACCACCAAATTCTAATCAGTTATTTCCTGACTCAATGTGGACATTTGTGCCAAACTTGACGACATTCCCTCAAGGTGTTCTTGGGACATCACGTTCACAAGAATGAGATGGACCAGGTCACACTGACCTTGACCTTTGACCACCAAAATCTAATCAACGTTGTGAACATTTGTGCCAAATGTGAAAACATTTCCTAAAGGTGTTCTTGAGATATCGCTAGAATGAGACGTACAGACCTATGGACTGACTTTATCAGTTGGAACATTAAATATCCCGTCTTTCTCCTGTATTCAACCAAATATAGGTCAAAAAATAATTTATGAATCATTGCATTCTGTTTTTATTTATGTTTTACTCAGCGTCCCAACTTTTTTAGAATCAGAGTTCTTACTTAAATAACAGTAGAAATACTACAGTGTAGAAATACAAAGTATTTGTATCAAATTAAAGTTCAGAAAGTAAAATCACTCATTATGCAGAATAACCCATTTCAAAATAATGTTTTTTTGTATTATTATTAAATGCTATTAAAAATGCTATTTGCATTCTAAATGCTAAATGATATTAAAGTAGCATACAATGGAAATACTCAAGTAAAGTACAAGTACTTGAGTAAATGTACTACATGTCAGTAGTGTCTGTCTAACTGTCTCGTCTCTGCTCTCAGTCAGGGGATGGTGGATGGATGGAAACTGGCGGACAGCAGGAGGATGTGTAGTCGGTCGCGGCGTCACATTTTCATCTTCATCCTGGTGCTGGCTGCAGTTTTGTTTCTCTACACAAACAGAGAGGAGATGGAGCCGGACTGGAACCCCAGCCAGTGGTGGAATCCATTCAAAAGTCAGCAACAACACGTCTTCTCTGCCAACACGACTGGTTCCAGCAACATAACAGGTGGATCTGGACCAACTGAGACCAGCTCGAGTGCATTCCCTCAAACTGGGAATATGTCATTGTCTCAGGTGACAGATGTGATGACAACGACTCCACAGCCGAGCACAACGACCACCACATCTCAGCCCAACACATCGACCTCGACTCCACAGCCTACAAAAGCTTCTGTGGTGACTCAGCTGATGACACCAAATGAGACCGAGCCACCAACACCGGTTCCTTATGTATCTCCAGGCCCGTACGTCGTGGAATACCCGTATGAGTACCACTTCATTATAAACGAGCCCAAGAAATGCGAGCAGCAGAAGCCTTTCCTGGTTCTGATGGTTCCTCTGGCGCCCAGCAACAGGGCTCATCGCAACATCATCCGCAGCACCTGGGGAAGTGAAAGTCTGGTACTGGGCAAAATGGTGCAGCTGTTCTTCTTGCTGGGGCTGCACAGCGGTGAGGGAGCGCCACAGCTCCACGAGCAGCTGCTGCAGGAGAGCAGAGAGCATCAGGACCTGCTCCAGAGCAACTTCCTGGACTGCTACAAGAACCTGACCATCAAGACCATGGTGATGATGGAGTGGCTGGACTCGTACTGCTCCAGCGCCTCTTACGCCATGAAGATTGATTCGGACATGTTTCTGAACGTGCACAATCTCATCAACATGTTGTTGAACGCTCCAAAGTCAAACTACATGACAGGACTCGTGGCGAGAGGAGCTATGGTCCTGAGAGATCCGAAGTCTAAGTGGTTCCTCCCTGTGGAGCTTTACCCTCAGCCACAGTACCCTCGTTACGCTTTGGGTCTGGGCTACGTTTTGTCTCTTGACCTCCCTAAAAAGCTCGTGGAGGCGTCCAGACACATTAAAGCTTTCTACATTGAAGACGTGTATCTGGGGTTGTGTATGCAGCACCTGGGCATCCCTCCCACCGACCCTCCAAACTGGGGGTATTTTCAGGTGTTTCCTGTGATGTACAGTCGCTGTGCTTACTCCAGACTGATAGCCACAACTGTAAATGGAAACAGGGACCGCGTGGCTGACTGGAAGGACTTTAAAAAGCCGGGTCCATACTGCTGATCTATAAATAACAGGGCAGCTAAAGAAGGACTTAGGAGCTGTACACATGCTGCGTCTTTAACCGCCTGGAGAACACAAGGTCAGGCGTTGGGTACTCTTTTCTGTGCCGACGATGGCAGGTTGCGTCTGAGGTTACTAAGCAACCTCAAAAAGCACCGTATCGTAGCCTATTTATCTGAAATCCTGAGTGCAGAGCTGATGTCTGTGGGACAGATGTGACGCTCTGACAGCTCTGCACCAACATGATCAACTTCTCCTCCATATTTATCACAGACTGATATTTACTCAAGAAGGAAAGATATCTGTCAGCTGTGATTGGTCGGTGCCCGTCATGTGGTGCAAAAACTCTAAAAGTTGTGCTCAGTTTATGTCAGGGTGCAGCCGTCACACCCTGAAAAACAGGCACTCGGGAAGGCGTGTGTGCCACGATGGCATCGCACTGGCGTTTGAGAGTGCCTTCTGCACATCTACATTAAAAACAATGAATCTGAGGGCACAAAAAAGCATCTGTACGACCCATTAAAAGGACAGACCAACCACAAAATCAAAATTCTTGTCACCTGTGGTGCTATTTATTGGTGAGTGTTGGAGATACGGGCTGTAGAGATGTCTGCCCTCTCTTGTGTATAATGAGACTAGATGGCACAAAACACATATCTACAACAAAACAAAGCTGTAGACTGAAACACTTTGAGAACACAAAACAAGACAGATCAGCATGACAGAGGCTGCTGCAGCACATCTGTTGCACATGCTGAAGTTCGATTTAATGTGCAGATTGTAATGGTAACGAGTAATGAGTGTATAAATGACAAACTCAAAACAATTTTATTCAAGTTGCCTTTGACTTTTTATGAATTCAGTGAATTATACACAAAATGACAGATATTTGTGTAGCTGGCCTCCACAATTTCATCACCAAAAAAAATGCCTAAAAACATCACAAGACTTTTTTTTTTGTTTTTTGAAAACCTGCCGAGAACAATTCCCCCCAAAAAGCCCCCAAATTCTGGAGGGGCTGATTAGCTTAGGTCAGCAGTGCTAGGTGAGCGAGCAGTAGATGCACGCCTCCTTCTGTGTTGCGGTTGACAAGTGTGGTTTAGTAGAAAAGAAAATAGTTCCTATGTGAAACTGCTTGACATGAAATTTGTGGAGAAGTTGAGGTAAAATTGTAAGGTCGCTCAGAATTCATGGGGATTGGTTGAATTTGCATTAAGTGTCGCAGTCATGACAACACAACAGCTTGGAGGGTCTGTCTGATGTCACAGCTCAGAAGGAGGCTGTTGGGGTTAACATCTGGCCCTGTCACGAGCACGAGCCTGTCATCCATGAGTAGATACACACTTCCTTCTGTGCAGTGATACTGTTGGTGGGTGTAGTTCAGTAGAAAGAAAATAGTTCCTCCATGAAACTGCTCACAAGCTGAGTGTCATCTAGTACTGAAGAGAAGGGAGACATCTCTATGGCTGATATCTCCAACACTCAGCAACTCACACCAAATATATCCAGAGTGATGAATAGCACCAGAGGTGAGAGGAGAAATATGTATTTCTGATTTGGGGTGGACTGTCCTTTTAATATACTGATCAACGAGACTGAATTTTCTCGGGTTGTTTCCAAATTTATTCTATTTTTCATGTGGTTTATGTCCTAATTTTTGTTAACAACGCGCTAATCATACACAGTAACTGTTACATTGATGTTTATACATATAAACCATTCCCTCTCATGAATTTGTGAATGCTTGGGTGGCAAAGGACTGGCCTTACTCTGCCTCTGATTGACTTATTACATTCTTATCCTAACCCTAACCACTCCGACAAACGAAGGCAATCAGCCAATCAGAGGGCAGGTTATTCCTTCACTATCCTAGAATTCACAAATTTGCTCTGCTCTCAGGTTTCAAAGTGTTAAACACTCAACGACAGGGTTTTCTGTCACACTGAGGTCACCTCACTGCACTGTAGGTCAAAACTGACTCCAGTCATCAAGTGCAATTTATTACAACTGAGTGCAGCTAAGAATCTGAGTATGAAATACAGTGGCTGAGATTTTTAAATCCAGTATTTTAAAAAATACTGAAAATATGGAGCTGTAGGGGTAAAACATGCACAGACTGTATGTTAAACTGTAATTCTCCTTTTTTCAACATTTCCTCCAGTCTCGTGATTTGAGAGTGAAAATGTGGCACTTTTAGTTTCTCAACCATAAATTTGAAGAAGAAAATAAAAGTTGGCATTTTGGGCACAACTACAAATTCAATCAGAGCAAACTATGAAAGGTTGAGAAACTCTCAGTCCGTCCTCATCTGCTGAGCTGGTGAACTTACATTTAACTATATGAAGGAAACAGACAGCTGTTATCTGAGGGCAGGTCTTCAAGAGAAAGGCTTTGGAGGATGTTTAATTATTAGTACAACTGTTTATATAATGAGATATAAAGAAGTGGTGAAGTAATCACAGTTAATAATAACTGGGCGGAGGCACCACTTAGCTAAAATAAAAAAATTAAAACCTCAAGTGTGTCAGGCATGTAGCTGTCACCACAAATATGTTACAGCCTTTAACAAACACTGTAACAAGAGCCACAGCGACACTGTGCCAATTATCCCAGCAGCTCTGTTTAACCTTACAATCTTCAGCTGTAGCGACAGAAAACGTCCCTCTTTCTCCTGCATGAGACGTGTTGAGACCCGTCACAACATTCAGGGGCGACTCTGCACCGGAGAAAACATTTTGTCCTGGATTTATCTGAAAAGTGCCTTATCTCAGTTTAGTATTCAAACATTTCAATGCTTTCCACTTTAAGGAAGCCTGGGTGATAATTTGGGCTTCAGCTGCTACAGAGTTTAATTTCACCTCCTTCTGAGGATGCATGAAGAAGACTGACGAGGTCAAACCTCCAACAACACCTGAACTTTAAAGAACTTTGTTGTTTGTGTGTCTCGTGGCCGTGCTGATACATGCTGTACTGTCACATTTCATTGACCCAGTCACCAGAAAAAATACTGGTATTGTTTCTGCAATATTTGTAGATTATTACTTTATGTTTCAACAATGCTGTGGTTTATGTGTGGTCAAGTTTAGGCAAGAAAAGCACTCGGTTATGGTTAAGCACAATCCCCTCTTGAAATGCAGCAATGTCTCCATAAAGAATAACCACTTTTCATGCAACTATCCCCACTCTCAAAACAGCGATCAGTCACTAAACATAGTCGGTTTTGTTGTTTGTTGTTCTCAAACAGTGGTCTGGAGCTTTAGGTATAATACCTGCTGGAAAAGTAGCAGCGTCTCAATGAAAAACACCCTCTTCTCATGGCACTGAGGAGGATGGACAAAAAAAGCTGAAAAAGCTGCTGAAAATGCAGCAATGACTCGCTAAGAAACAACTGGTTTTGCTGTTTGTTGGTGTTGAACAGTGACCTGCAGCTTGGCAGGTGTCTCTCGCCGTTCACCATCTCCTCCAGACAGAGTCAGCTCACACACTACGTCACTTTAGAAACATTTATATGATTCATGTGAATCGTGCAAACATAATGTGGTTTGCAGAATCGTACAATGCCAACATTTTCTTCATGTGGCTGGGTACGGGGTGCCGTTTGTCAAGTGGCTCATGCTGAAAATAACATCAGCATTTTGCCACATTTAGCTTCAAACAATGTTTAAAAAAGTATTGTGAATTTTTTTAACGTCACCTTTTACCACATTTTCAGCAATATTTGTTAACTTAGAAATATATTAAATAGTTAAATCTAAATATTAAATGTGGCACCTAAATGTTAAATGTTAAATCTAAATATTAAATCTAAATCTAAATCTAAATGTTAAATCTAAATATTAAATCTAAATCTAAATCTAAATGTTAAATCTAAATATTAAATCTAAATCTAAATCT